TGTTAATGAAACAAGTAGAACAAATATTTGTAAAATATCTGGCAAAGAGGCAAAGCAATAGATAGTGAGTAGGGTGTTTACCTTGCCGGTGGTGACTAGGGTTTGATCCTCAGTACCATATGTGGTCACCAAGCCCTACCAAGAGTGATCCTTGAGCAAAGAGTAAGGAGTAAGCCCCGAACACTGCTGGGTATAGAGGAAAAAAGGAGAGGGGAGGAGTAGGAAGTAGGAGAGGGAATGGGTGGGGAGAGAGAAAAAAGAGAAAATTAGCAAGACTAAAAAAAAAAAGGATTATTTAGATTCAAAGTGAAGGAAGCAACTTAAGTCAAAAACCTCAAATATCTGAGTTTTCAGAATTGGGAAACAAACTAAGTGCTGGATCTGACTTTTTTTTTATCCTAAGAAGAAGCCTAAATCGCAGGATTTATGGACGTAAGAGATTTTTAATTAAGGTACTACGATCAACTATATCTGTAAAGATGCAGGTCAGTGTAAGTAAGCCTTAATCATTTAGGAAAAGTTCTGGTTGAATTCATCAGCTCAGCATCAGTGTAAAGAAAGAAAATAAAGAAAATAGCATACAAAAGGAAAACACGCAGGAGATGCTTTAGAGACGAAGATGAGAAAAAATGAAAGATAGAAGGTTCAGAATTTGTCTGGACTAGAAATTTTTCTGAGCTGAAAAATAATCACAATTTACCCATCTGCAGAATGATTGTGTATGTCAGCCCCTTGCAAGGATGATTAAAAACAATTTGGTATCTAGGTACATGGCAGTGAAACTTCAGATAATACACAAAGAAAAAAACAATTCTGAAAGCAATCAAAGGTGAACTATCGATTGCAATCAAAGGAATGAAAATGATAAGTACAGAAGCTGCCTTTTCACTGTGATCAAGACAAGGGATGATCACTTAAAGGGTGGTAGAAAAACCATTGTCAGCTTGGAGGTCCACATTTAGTCAAACTATAATTTGTGGGTGAAACTAAGTAGAAAATAATCCCTGAAATCCCTGTAAGGGGTGGCTAGAGTGATAGGACAGAGAAGAAGGTAGCTAGCTGCCTTGCAAGCAGCTGACCCAGGTTTAAACCCTGGGATCACATATGATCCCCAACCCTCTGCCAGCAGTGACCTGTGAGTGCAGGACTAGGGCTAAGCCTTGAATACATCTGAGTGTGTCCCCAAAACAAAATGAAACAAAACAAACAGCAAAATACTTTTACAAATGAGGAATTCAGAGATTCACTGGAAAAATCATTAGATGTTGAAGATCAGTGAGGAGAATGGAACTGTTCCCACCAAAAAGAAGATGGATCGGTGAAGGAAGATTCTGATGGACATACAAGTGAATACAAAGTCAGTTTGAATGTCAACTAATAGATGAATAAGTGGATAAATGGTGTAGACTAATTTCTTAGTCAAATAAGAAAAAAAGAGAAAAATTGAAATGGCTGGAAATAACCACTGGTTGGATTTCACTCTGATAATATGGTTGATGATTTTGACCTGACCGTGGGCATAGATTGAAGAAGAAAAGGAACAAATTTAAAAAAATGTTTACAGTTTACAGTTTAAAGCAAATACAAAAAAAAAAAACTAATCATGCAGCTATTTATAGCAACAAGAAAAAGGGCAGATAGAATACAAATCCATAAGGTTGTAGAAGGGACAGAAGTGGCTGGACTTAGGAGCAAGTATGAGAGAGTAGATTTTTTTTTTTTTTGCTTTTTGGGTCATACCTGGCGATGCACAGGGGTTACTCCTGGCTCTGCACTCAGAAATTACCCCTGGTGGTGCTCAGGGGACCACATGGGATGCTGGGAATCAAACCCAGGTTGGCCGTGTGCAAGGCAAATGCCCTACCCCCTGCGCTATCGCTCCAGCCCCGAGAGTAGATTTTTAGAATCATTTGTTCTGAGGGCAGAAAAGAGTTGAAGGTGAGCACTGTAAGTGATCAAATTGTCTACATGGGGGTGCAGGAGGCCGCTGAGAGAGTTAGGAACTCTTACTTTGATTAAAAATTGTCTGCAAAAATAAAAATTCTGAAACAGGACAACAATAAAGTACAGTGACTGAGGTGGGTCCCTTGCATGTACAGACCCTGGTAATGGATTCAACCCCTGGTACCCCGTACTGTCCTCTGGACACCATCAAAAATAACTCCTGAGTGAAGAGCCAGGATTTGCCCTAAGACTTCCCCAACCTTGCCAGTAAAAAGAATAAAATAAAAGGAAAAAAAGAAAAGATAACTTAAGCCATGTCCTTACCTGAAGGAATACATGATCTTTTTTCTTATTTTTGTTGTTGCTACTATGTTTTGTGGGGTTTGTCTCTATCACGGGTGATGTCTTTGGCACTAAAATATTTCGTGAGGGATGGTTCTTCTAATGAATTATATTTTCAGGTCCTACTCTTTCTGTAAAGAATGAATTTTGCATTTTAATATATATTGTTTGCTACATCAAATCACCATGTTTATTTCAGAAAACCACAAATGGTCCACATAGGGGAAGGATGTGTGAGTTGCAGGCCAAGCCTTTTGGGAAATAAACAGAAACCAAAACTTTGCATTTCTATGTTCTCCACAAAATCAGCTTTCAAAAAATAGCCTCAGACAAGCTGTAGTCCCAGTTGAATGTCATGTTGCTATTATTGTGATGACATAGAATCATTAAACCACTGCTAGTAGTAAAAAAGTTATTTTTGGTAATAGTACTGCTCTATCCTTTCAAGGAGAATCATGTTTTCTTTGCTTATTATTATTAAGGTAAAGGTAAAGGCCCTCCCGTTGATCATCGATTTGCTCGAGCGGGCCCAGTAACGTCTCCATTGGAGACTTTGTTGTTACTGTGTCTGGCATATGGAATACTCTCGGTAGCTTGCCGGGCTCTCCGAGAGGGGCGGAGGAATCGAACTCGGGTCGGCCATGTTGGCCGCTTGTAAGGCGAACGCCCTACCCGCTGTGCTATCACTCCAGGCTTATTATTATTATTATTATTATTATTATTATTTTGTGGAGAGGACACACCTGGCAATGCTAATGGCTTACTCCTGGCTCTGTATTCAGAAATTACTCCTGGTGGGACTTTGGGAACCATATGAGGTGCCAGGGATCAAACCTGGGTAGTCAAGGCAAGTTCCCTACACACTATCTCCAGTACCAGGAATTACATTATATTTTATTATTATTGTTATTACTATTATTATTATTTGTTTTTTGGGTCACACCCAGTGATGCACAGGGTTTACTACTGGCTCTGCATTCAAGAATTACTCCTGGCAGTTCTGGGGGGGACCATATGGGATGCGGAGTATCAAACCCAGACCAGCCTCATGCAAAGCAAATGTTCTTCCTGTTGTACAACAGCTCTGGCCCCAAGAATTATATTTTAAATACCAGTTATAGATCCTTGCTTTTCTTAAAAGAAAGGCATGGGCTGAAGTTGGCCTTCCACCATCATTTTATTAATGTTCCTTGATTTTGCTGCAGCACTAAAGCTCTTAGTTCTTAGATTGACCACATCTTAGTTCTTAGATTGGCCACAGCACAAGGTCAAAGAAAACACTATGTGTGTTCTCCTTAAAAGTATGTCCCGTGTGTAAAGTAACTGAAATGATAGTAGATGTTCCCAGCATGAAACCCTACCCTCCCTCCATTAAACGCTCAAGTCCTTTTTCACACTTCTCTGTCGAACACATGTATTGCACAAGCAGAGTTATGACCCTCGTGTGTCAGATATGTTGTCTCTGGTAATTCTCACAAAACCCACTCAGGCAGATGTTTTGACCTCAGTCAAATAAGGATATTGACATTTTAATATTGAAGGCAATTTTCTGAAAGCTATTGTAATTCATATAATTGAGTCTTTTTAAAAGCCGTACATCTGTGTCGAAGTTCCTAGGTTCAATTGTAACATAATGGAGTAAATAAACAGATAACCAAATGCATGTTGCTCAAACCACCACAAGTCATGGGGAGTGATGAAAGAACATTATATTGGGGCATTCAGAATGGCAGACATCTGTATCCTTTGATTTCACATTGTCATTTTGAAATATCAAAGAGGAATATAATAATTTTGAGCATTAGACTCCAGAGATTTATGACAAACTCACTAGGAAAACAGGTTCATGCTTGATACAACAAAGATAGAACTTATCAGTTGGGTTGTTGGGTTATAGATATAAATTAAGTTCCAAATTCTATTTGTATAGATATCGACTGAGAGAGCACAGTCCACACTGTGAATTGACAATATCAGTATTTGTGTGTGTGTATGCGTATGCACATGTGTGTGTATGTGTGTGTGTGTGTGTGTGTGTGTGTGCACTTTCAAGCTTCAGCTCTTTATCAAATTTGTTCATGGAAAAATCTGCTCTCTTAGCTTTTTGCAAGAATGAGTAGTTTAGCAAATTTTCAGATTTTCAAGTTTTGGGTGATTGTCAAGTTTTGTAACTAGCCAATTATTACTTTTCAATGATGGCATGATTTACACTTTTATTTTACTCTGTTGCGTAGTATGGTGTGTGCAGTGCATGACTGTTGAATAAAGGAATTAAAACATGGGTAAATAATTATGAGAAATGTGTAGTTACCTAAACTGTCTCCTACTCAAAACATCTGCATTCTGTTCCTTTTCAGGATAAATAAACAAATATCTAGAAGCTAAGTCGAAACTTGCTTTCAAAAAGAAGTCTCTCTTTTATAAAATAATTCTGTTCCTAATCTGAAACTCAAATGTTCTTGGTTTTCAAAAAATCCTACTATACCAACAATTGCATCACATACTAAAGAAGAAGGGCTATGGCTCTTAATAAAAGCCCACAGATTTATTGTTCAGTTCCTTTTGAGATATGACAAATATATCACTTATTTGACTGAAAAAAAATAATCCCCTGAAAACAAACCCTCACTTTTAAAATAGTATTTTGGAATGTTCTCTATGTGTGGATATAGTGATAAACACTTGACATAGATTATCTCATTTAATCCTCACAGAAACTGAGTGAAGTGTTTACTGTCATTATCCCTATTTGATGAAGAGGATACTGGGGCTCACAGAGAATTAATATCAAGTTCAAGATCATCTATTGTCAAGTAATCAAGAGTGGATGACCTGAAAGCTTATACACCAGCTGGGACCAGCCTTTTATTGAGGGGAAAACGTACAAAGCCAGAGCTGTGAGCAGGTGAGCAATCTTCTCAAAGCCAATATTCAGAAAACTGAAGGCTCAGACATCTGACTTAAGAGGCCCAGTCTTGAGCTGTGAGACTTAAAAGATGCACGATTGGAGGAACATCTGTTCTTTCTTGAGGTAGGTTGTTTCTATGGTCCAGACAGTGATATAGTTCTTTTTGTAGTAGAATTGTGACTACCAGTCTCATCTTCCACAACAGCATTTGAAACAGAGTTCACTACTTTTATGCTCTGTGTGGAGAAACCCAAGCAACTCTTGTGTTCATGCTGATGTGGTGTTAGAACTCTTGACTTCAAACTCTGCTCTATCTCATCAGGATTCTATGAGAACGCCTGCCTTAAGCATATATTTATGGCCAATTCTCATATCTTCTGAATTTTAATTCTCAGAGGGACCTGTGGTTTGAGAGGAGAGGGAATAGCAACTACCTGAAAAAGAAAGCTTGCAAGAATTTCCATTTCAGTGAAATTCAGTTTTGCCTATGACCTACTCATAAGGAAGTGGGCTCTTTATTCGAATATCAACATCTGTTACTTGATTCTAGACTACATACAAGTTTTCTGTTAGATTTTGTCTCATTCTTTGTGAACCATCGGAAATTCTTAGGTACTATTCACCCACTTCTGTACCTAATAATTTACTGTTCTGGTATTCTGTGCTGCATTTGAATGTGTGGTCTAATTTGGCTGTGGACCGTTCAAAGGGAATATGATATTGACCATAGAAATGATAGTCTTGTTCACAGGGAAAGGGCATGTTCATGGATGAGCAGTGGGAGTACTAATGAGGCTGAGTTCCTTTGAAGAAATAAATACAAATCTAGAATTTGTGACTTATATGCTGTGTATGGATAGATTTAGGATTTTTAATTAAACTAATGCTATTAAAAATTAGCTCAGTCAGTTGGTGTGTCTTGTTGCAGGATAACTGACTATCTTAGCTTCAATTTTTAGTGCTACAATCTCTAATGTCATTCTTTCCAAGAATACTTCTTCAACTTTATACATTTATAAACCTTGCAGATATAAAATATATGGAGCTAAGAGAAAGTATAGGCAGTTTGATGGTAATAACATCTTTGTAACCAAATGTAAAGTTCTTGAAGTCAGAGTTGCATATGTTTCAATTTCTATATAAAACACATGCATGGACGTTATAATCCACATTGCTATTAGATTGATGATTTTTTTGTGAATTAAATATTTGATAGCTATTTTTTTAAATGTTAATTACATTATTCATGTTCTGGGGTATTATTGCATTGATTTTAGGTATGTTTATTTGAAAATTAAATAATATAGACGACTTTTCATACCAATGATTATATATGATTATTATTTTATAGAAAGAATCATAATTCTTCTTAATTTTGCCACATCCAAATCCTTTTTATCCCCAATGAGAAGAAAAACTATTTTCAAAATATCTTATAAACCATAAATACTTTGAAGTATATAGAATGATATACATATTTATATATCTCTATATACATAATTATATGTATATATTTCAGTAGAGTGGGCAATTCTTTGAAGTATATTTTTAATTCTTTGGATTATCATCTATTTAAATATATAACCCCTTCAAAATGGATGGAATTGTTTAACAGAATTGCAGGAAAATTCCTATTTGCAAAACTCTCTCTTATAGACAGTTTAAGAGAGTAAGACCTTATTTATTGGTTGCTTGTCTGGAAAAAGTTACTTCATTTTTCTGTGTTTTGTTCTCCTCATTGACAGAAAAACAATAATAAAAACTTAGTTAATAAGCCTGTGAAAAATGATGCAGACTGCTTAGAGCAGTGTCTGGTGCTAAGTAATCACACAAAAGATATAGTATTGCTGTAGTTATTTACACATCCTACATATAAAACATCTATTTCACCCAGATATTTTTGCACATCAGAAATGGCCTGATACTTATTTTGTCTCCATTACTTCATCATCGTATAGAATCTTTAAGGCTCCCCTGTTGTGTCATAAGAATCCTGGTTCAGATAAATCAAAATCTGAGTATTTAGGGACTTCATAATATCTGTAATATCTTATTGAAATTGGGACTCCTCTAATTCAGATGCCTCACCATGTCTTTCTACCATAATGTGGTGGGTGCCCTACTGGTCTTTGATGAGTCAAACAGAAAGTCTCCTTAACACACCTGAGATTGGCACCAGGAGGTCATGGCCATGCAGGATATGTACAGGACAATCTTCTAGCTGGTTGGCCACAAGAGTGGTCTGCAGAGTAGGTGTGAACAAGGTTTGTTTTCTTCTCATTGTTTTACAAAGTGAGACTAGTACAAACCTACCAAGACTGGTAGATAAGAACATTCTCAGACTATGCCCCTGGGTTATCATATGACACAACCTCTCCAGGACACTGCATCCCAGATCAGCAGAATTTAGAAAAAGCAGAATGGAAGAAACACCGCGGGTGTCATGATTCTTCTAGAACTTGGGTGTGGCAGGGCAAAGAAATAGAAACTCCTAAAAACCATGATCATTATAATTTTAAATATAATATCACTTTTATTTGAAGCTTATAAACACCCCACTGGATTTCGCTGGACCTTGAAATCTCTTGAGGATAATCCTAACCATTTTTTTTTTTGACTTCTGAAAACTTGCCTTGTTGCGCTTTGTATTTTTTTTTTCCTGGACATTATCCATTTGACTTTCTTCCCAGTTACCCATACTCTGACTTTCTTTACATAATTTGAAAATACTGACCATAGGGATAGCAAGGGTGAAAAGAGACCTTATACCCCACTGAACTCCATGTAACAGTTCTCTTTTGCTCACAGAGGAATTTTTGTAACCTTGTTGGAAGTATTATATTGTCTTTAGAAAAGAATAATGAACAAAGCATTTCATTAACTACATTTTAATGAGCTTTGTTAAAAGGTCAGCTCATCCCAGTCTCTGTGTGAATAAAAAATCTTGACTTAATAAATGAAATATTCATATATATGTTAAGATGATCCTTGGTCAGCATTAGCATGAAATACAATATATATTCTGCCATTGTAGTTTCAACATTTTTGATCTAGCCCCATTACTTTTTCAGTAAAATGTTAAGGGAATTAATTATTACAAAATAGAAGTATATGCAAAATAAAGTCTAACTTAAAAGATATTTTAAGATATATTTTATTAAATCTATAAATGAATCCTGCAGAAATTTTTAGTTCTCATATTTGAACCTCAAGTTAATTCAGCTCATTGTCAGACTCTTAAGAGTGAAAGCATCAGAGAAATACACTGAGCAGTGTATGAATCACTACAGGTGTGCAAATATCAATTCCTTTCTGTCTCCAGGGCATCAAAGGTAGGGTGAAGGAGAGCTTAGCTCCAATTCTGTCTGCTCATTGTAAGCAAGCATGACAGTTCTCTTCAATAAGATATGTAAACACTTTTTTATTTTCTATGTTATTTCATATTATAAATATGAAATAAGTTTCATGCACTGCTAAAGAATTGCACATTTGTTCTTACATCAGTCATGCATTGAATCATCTGTAGATCAGTGTATTAGAAACAGGTTGGGTAATAAGGTGTCTAACATTTATTCCATGACCTTGAAAAAGTTATAACCTAACATGGAAGATAGTCTCCCATTAAGTATGTGTAATAGTATTTTTCCTTTGTGAATTTCTACGCTAACCCAAAAGAGATCTTGCTAATTTATATTTGGATTAAGATAGAGGGAAAGGACACATGTATCACCCTACTTTTTTAAACTAAGTGATGTTCGTCAGGAAAATTATATACTGTAGTATTGCTTTGTCAATAAATATGTTTCTATGACGGTATTTTTAATGAGTGCCTGCTATTCCACTGTGCAAGTTTATTAGGATTATAACAGAGTTTAATGAATAATAATTGATTCTCAGTTGTAATTTTTTTCAGTTTTACTTTTGATGTATGCAACATATTTATTAAACTCTGGCAATAAAAATCAGGGCTCTAAGAATTTTAGAATAGTGTCATTTTTTTATAGCAGAAAGTTTGCTATATCTAAATAAATAGTCTGGTATTTTTATACCCAAATCATCAAATGGTCCCAGCTTCAAAACTCCAAAACTACTGACTTACTATTCATAGAAACAACTATAACTTTTGGACTGTCTTCAAAATGTTTTGTCTGAAAATGAGAGCTATTCTAGGATTAAAAGCAAAGACCAATACCTAGAACAAATCCTTATTCTTCTACTTATTTCTTGTGTTATTCACTCTCTCAGAACCTCGCTCATATATCATCTAAAAAGATAATATGCTTATGTTTTCTTTCTGCTTCAAAGAAGAAAATTGAGTAATAGATAACAGATAATGGTGTAGGTAGAAATCTAGAGAAAAATATCGCTAAATTGATATACTGATATAAATTATTATTATTGGTTTCTACATATAACTTGCACCTTTTACTTATTGAAAAAGAAGAGGAAAAAATGTAGTCCTTTCTCATGCTTGGCAGTGTATTTCCCGTTTTTCATATGATATTGATGTGGGGCATTGACTTGAAGAATCTGGATTTATTTTTGAACTCCTGTCAGCCAGCACTCCCTAATTAACATTGCCCAGAAGAGAAATGCTATTTTGCCTTCTGCATCATCAACACAACTGTCAGCAAATAAGGAAGGGACCATCTTTACAATTATTACTGCTAATGTATGAAGCAGGAAAGAACAGCTGGATTTTCATACACTGGGATGTTAGTAGAACAGACATTTTGTAAAATTTTACTTCAATTTCTATCTGCCTCTTTTTACTTTGAGAATATGTTTAAAAGAAAAATATCATTTTTATCTCAAAGCCTCTTTATAAATTCAATTTTAGACATGAAAACACAAAGTTAATTGGATAGTTTGTAGCTATGTCATTTATCAACTCTACTACTCTCTGTTCAGTGCCTTAAATTCTCTATTTCAGTTGTTTTGGTCTCCATGTTTGTTTAGCTTTATAATTATGATAGTAGAAATAACTATTTTAAATG